GTGATGCCGATTGGGAGACGTGGCACGAGAGGTTGTGTCACATCAACATTCCTATGCTGCAGAAGTTAGTGAAGGATGGGAGCTTGAAGGGGTTGGAGGTGAAGGGGGAAGCAAAGGAGATTGGGAGCTGCCCTACATGCCTTGAGTCCAAGTTCACAAAGTTTCCGTTCAGCAGTGGCACGGGACCAGCTAAGGCCCTGCTCGCACTTGTGCACATGGATGTGGTGGGCCCTACGAGGGCCCCTTCTCTCTCGGGCAGCCGCTACTTCTTAACCATTGTGGACGACCTACGCGTGCCGTGTGGGTGTACCCTCTCAAGACTAAGGGGGAAGTGGCAGCGGCTGTTCTTAAGGAGTGGATGCCGAGAGCTCAAAGGGAGAGCGGACACAAGGTGAAGGTGATCCGCACCGACAATGGGGGAGAGTTCATTGGTGCTGATTTTGAGTCGGTGCTGAAGAAGAAGGGGATCCAGCATCAGCTCACAGTGCCCTACAACCCTCAGCAGAACGGCGTGGCTGAGCGGTTCAACCGGACCCTGCGAGAAGGTGCTCGCACTCTCCTTGGGCGTGCAGGGCTGCCGGATCCGTTTTGGGTGACTGCACTGCGGCAGGTCGCCCTTGTGAAGTATGGGCTGCAAGATGGAGGAAAGCCAGCCACCCCACTGCCTTCGGGGTTCACTGTGGAGCCCTGTGCTGATGAGGAGGTGGTGGGTGAGAGTGACAGGAAGCTGTTTCATTCCATGGTGGGGGCACTCAATTATGCGGCTAACCACACGCGGCCTGACATTGCCTTTGCTACATCCAGGCTTGCAAGTGTGGTTTCACGCCCCAGTCATGAGCAGCTGGAAGCGGCCAAGAGGTTGGTCCGCTATGTGAGCGCTACGGCATCAGTGGGCTTGGACTACAGTGCTGTGCGACAGAGGCTGCAGAGGGGTGCAGCTGATTTGGGCAAGGGGGAGATGCTCCTGACCTGCTACACCGACGCTAGCTTCAACTCTGTGAAGGCGGATGGCACCAGCATTGGAGGCTATGTGTGCGTGTTTGGAGGTGGTGCAGTGAGCTGGCGCAGCAAGAAGCAGAACGAGGTGGGGCAGTCCTCGTGTGAGACAGAGTACATGGCTTTGCATCATGGGGCAAAGGAGGTGGTGTGGCTGAGGCGTTTGATGGAGGAGATCGGAGTGTGCCAGAAGGAGCCAACTGTGATTTTCTGTGACAACGAGTCGGCTGTGAAGCTTGCTAAGAACGCTTGCCTTCATGGGCTGACGAAGCACATCAGGCCTAAGTGGCATTGGGTGAGGAGGCTCCTGGACAAGGAGGTGCGGCTGGAGATTGTGAAGACCCATCAGCAGGCGGCTGACATTCTCACCAAGCGCCTGGCTGAATCTGAGCATTGGAAGGGCATGAAGCTTGCTGGGATGAGTGTGCATTGAGGGTGCATGCTTGAGCTATGACATGTGGGAGGATGGTTGGCAGCCAGAGAGGGAGTTTGTTGTGTGATGCAATCATATGCACTCACGTCTGTCTGCCTCCCATCATGTGTTCGTGCGTTGCATGCGTGGTGTGAGCGTATGCAAGAATTTGTGTTTTGTGCGGTTTGGTTTTTCTGAGTGTGTGTGTATGTTATTTGGCTTGAGCAGATATCTGAAGTGACTCCTCTGCTCAAGAGCTTTCCGACGAACCAAGTATCGCTTCAATCGGAGCACGAACAAGAAAGTTACGAACGTTGGAAGTTCGTATGCTTTTGATATTTGGTTGTGGTGACTATGGGAAGTTGTGGTGTTGACTCCATAAGGAGTACAGACTCTTGGGGGTTGGGAAATTCGTCAACATCACTGTAGATGCTGCCAAGTGGTTGGGAGGTGCCAAACCAGGTTGGCAAGTGTGGCCAAGTTGGGTGAGGTGGATGGCATGAGTTGGGAAAGTGACAAATGTCAAAGTTGGGTTGCCTATAGAGAGGGGAATTGTGTGGTATGGGGTGTCCTTGGTTGGGGACTCCCTTGGGACCTTCCCTCTCTTCCTCCTCATCCCCTCCTACCTGGTTCTATTGCTACTCTAACTTTCTTGTGTGAACTTGTGAGATAATTTGTGATTGAGTTACGTTTTCTATGGCAGCATACCCCCTAGTGCGCCGAAGTTCATAACTCGAGTTATACTCCATATTTTGATACTATTCAAATTGGGAAAGATAGCCACGGTCAAGGGCTACAACATACTCGAGTTTAAAAGAATTCTAACAGTGGACCTTTTGTCGACGACGTTTCTTGTGACGACGACTTTTCTGTCCAGAATTGTAGTTGACGATTTTGAGATATTTCAGCCTCTAATCTTCATAGACTCCGTCCTTAGTCTCTAACAGGTCGCGGGCTAGGTACGGGCTGATCGCGGGCTAGGTAATGGCCGGGCGCGGGGCTAGGAACTGGGCCGGGCGACGGGGCCAACGGGGCCGTGAGCGACGGGGCCTAGGGGCCGAGCCTAGGGGCTAGGGGCGACGCCAAGGGGCGACGGGCCGGGGCCTAGGCTAGCAGGGCATTAGGTGATGGGCCCATTAATGTGAGGTCCTAGGAACGACCTGCTCTGATACCATGTTAGAATAGTAGCTTGACTTAGGAAACTAGGTGCATTGCTTAGGAGGTTTAGGAGCCATGAGTGTCGAGAGAGTTGAGTGTCGAGGGGAGAGTCGAGAAGGAGAAAAATGAGGAAAAGTGGAATGGAATGATTTCACTAGCAAGAGTTGGGATACAAATAGCAAACCCTAAATTGGGTTGTACTCACTACAGAGTACCCCACTGCAGGCTAGACAGCAAATACATTCTGACAAGCCGTGCGTACAGAAACCACCTGAGTCCGTGTTCACGACCTGGGTGCTCTGGAATATGAAACCACACCGGCGACCACTGGGATTTAAAAATGAACACGTCAGCTTTTGTCTTTAGGCACACACCAGTATTTCCGAGCGTCCGATCCCGTCGTGTCGTACTGCAAATCAGGAAATTCGGGTAACCAGCTTGTGCTCGCAAGCCATTAGTGTAGTTCCAGGCATAACTGGAACGCGACCTTACGATACGGGGTTGAATAAGGAATCAGCATGAAAAATGCGGGCCATTTTCAAGTGCAATCCCATCAGTACGGGAAATGTGCTCAGGTGGGAGCCCAACAACTTTCCGGCACTGTTACGGGCACTGTTCCGGCACTGTGCACAGATGCCGCAATAGACCCTGGTACAAGCTCGCCACTCACTCAGTGTTAAGCTGACGGATTTTATTGTCTCCTACACATTCTGACGGAAACCAAACAGACAACAGACCAAACTACCCGAAGCTGTAAAGGCCACCCGAAAAACAAAATAAAACCCCTAGAGAACCTGGAAGCCTTTTCGGGAGGGATCAACCCTAAACACGGGAACCCATATGACGTTTATGGTTGATGCTTCCCGATTCAATTCCGTTCCGATTGGGTTTTATTTATTTTTACGAAAACCTTGGGGAGGCATCAACCCTAAACACCAGGAGGTTCCTGTGTTTAGGGTGATCTTCCAAAAATGCGTCCAGTGTCACTGTAGCTTTTAGTTTGTTTTTTGGGGTATGTCTTAGGTGTTCCTACGACCTCTAGTCAGCCTGGGCCCTTGTCAGACTTGGTCATTCGAGCGATTTCGTTATTAACACCGTTTTTCAGACTTCAAAACAAACGGTGCTACACGATGAATTGGTCACGCGAAACCTATCACACGTGCTGTTTCGGCGAGCCAGGTCAGTTATTCGTGCAGACGAAGATTTTACAGCCACCAAGCGCACGTTTCGGTCGTTTGTGATTTGTCAGGACTCAAGAAACAATTGTACCTTTGCAACCTTCTGGAACGGGAGCGCTGCGCAGTGCCACGTCACCCCACTCATTGTGTCGCGCACTTCACCAAGCAACGGAAATAAATAAATAAAAGTAGGGTTAAGCCTAAATATTAGTGTTTGAGGCGAGTCTGACAAGAGGCCAGCCTGACTAGAGGCCGTAGGAACATGCTCTTAGCAGTTCCTGGTAGCGTGGGTAAACGAAGCGTGTGTGAGCGCATTAATTTCACTCAGCGAGTACAGATTTGAGTTGCGCATCTTCTCAAGGCTCTGTTCCGGCACGTGTGTACAGTGCGCAGCAGAAACTTTGAAAGATGCGCCGGGCTCCCACCTGAACATATTTTCTGTACTATAGAGATCGCACCTGAAAATTGGCCTGAAAAACACCTAAGGACTGTCAGAGAGCCAAGCCAAGGCTCTTTGTGAAGGCTTCTGGTTGCTCTCCTTGGCCACGAGCGAAACGTCGTTGTTCTGTTCTGATCCGGATTCTTGGTGATCTCCATCTCCAACGATGATGTCCTCACCTCACGTTTAGAGACCTTAGTAGAACCCAGCTTGCCAAATGGCGTCGTTCAGTTTTCTTGCGGTCGATTTTTTGGCAATAGTCAGGAGGTAACCGCCTGAGCTCCAATGAATACCGCATGAGTCAGTTTGGAGGCTATAAAATGCGAAAAATGTGTTCACCAACGTGCTTACATTCATTTGTTTCTTGCCTAAAATGTCATCAGATCCATCCTCGTTCACAAGAATATGTCCCTGCGAAGTCAAGCCGCAAAGTACAGTACCCTGCCAGGCCAAATCACGTTAATCGGGCAGAAAGAGGAAAAAAACCTGGCACCGCATTGAGCGGTGCATGACAGATTTGCTTATTCCCGTCCAGGAGCAATGGCCTCCGACCTCGTCGTTATCCGAAGGCTCCGTCCGTCATTCGCTTCCACTGAACGAGCAGTGAAGACGGTACTTTACCTGGTGGCACGAAGGTCTCGCATTTCTGCGTTGTGCTTTGCCTTGCTTCCACTGCGCTGTTAGAGGGCCCTACGACAGCAAGGGCCCTTGACGACCGTTTGACTTGGCAGGTCGACTATGAAAGACCAAGACGAGCAGTCCAGTCTACTGCAGCGCGCAGGGCACCGTGGTTGACTTCTTCCTCAAGCAGCGCTTCATGCGCAGCGTCATGCACCCCGACATCTCCAAGTTCACCGCCCTCACCGCCCTGTCAGTGCTGCTCGCCCACTCCCACCGCGTCTCCCCGCTCATTGCCACCACTCATTGCCACCGCTCATTCCCATTGCTCTAATTTCCGTTCATTCAACTGCAAGGGCCCCTCCACACAGGCTAGTCTCTCTGCTCCGTCATGCGCTCATGCCGACCACTCCCCACTGCCCCCCTGCGTGCCCCGCCACAGGGACCTGTCAAGCAACTTCCTGTCGGGCCCGTTGGATCCGTTCATCGCGCCCCTCACTGGCCTCACCGCCCTCAAATCCATGTACCACCTCCACAGCCACCCTGCTCTTTCTCTCGTCTCCCGCTCTTTCTCGCAATCCTTGTTCTTCGCTGCTCTCCGTGCCCTCTTCTCGCCCGTCTCTACTCATCCCTAACCTGTATCTCTGCCCCCCCCCTCCCCCTCGTTCCTCCCGCTCGTGTGTGCTGCGGTGCAGTGTCATGAGTTACAACTTCTTCTCAGGCTCGCTGCCCTCCACCATCTCAGCCATCAAGAACCTCTACAACTGTGAGCGCCCTCACCCCCCCCCCCCCCCACACCCACCCTCTCCAGATTTCAGCGCTCTCCCCTCTGCATGTCCTACCCTGCTGCGCCGTGTGTCATGTCATCGCACCCACCTTTCCCCCACCCCGTTCCCCATGTGCACGCATGTGGTGAACGCAGGAGCCTGGGGTGGAACAACCCGACGGGCACGGTGCCGGTGCCGGGCACAGTGCTGCAGGTGCTGGATCTGGAGAACAACTGGTTCATTGGCAAGTTCCCCTCCACCGCCAACTGGTACTTCTGCACGGCGCACGCCAACTGCTTCAACGACCCCACGCCCTGCAAGAACAACAACAACCAGGGCATCACTCAGCGGCCGTCGTGCGCCATCTGCAACAGCACGGACGGCACAGGCACGCTGTGCGGCGGCATTGTCCCCTGCCAGCCTGACCCGGCTGCCGTGAAGGCTGCCACCGCCTTCCCAACGACCAGCACTCCTGTGCTCGCCCTCACCTGCCCTCCTGTTCCGCCCGTCACCACTGACGCCACTGCAGGTACAACTGCGGTTGTACCTCATTCTGCTGCCACCGTGCTGCTGCTGCTGGCCCATGCCTCTCCTCATCATGTGCATGCCATGCCTCTCATCTCTCCTCATCATGTGCATGCCATGCCTCTCATCTCTCCTCATCATGTGCATGCCATGCCTCTCATCTCTCCTTATCATGTGCATGCCATGCCTCTCATCTCTCCTCTTCATGTGCATGCCCATGCCTCTCATCTCTCCTCATCATGTGCATGCCATGCCTCTCATCTCTCCTCATCATGTGCATGCCATGCCTCTCATCTCTCCTCATCATGTGCATGCCATGCCTCTCATCTCTCCTCATCATGTGCATGCCATGCCTCTCATCTCTCCTCATCATGTGCATGCCATGCCTCTCATCTCTCCTCATCATGTGCATGCCCATGCCTCTCAACACTGCCACCCGTGTATCCCACCGCCCCCCGCCACCAGCATCGGCACTGATGAACATCAAGACGGCGCTGGCAGTGACGTACACCAACTGGGCGGCCTCCGCCACATGCAATGCTGTTGGCAGCTCGGGAGGCAACTCGGGAGGCAACTCGGGAGGCAGCAGCTTCACCGGCGTGGAGTGCAACAGCCGGGGCCAACCCGTCAAGATGTGAGCATCAAGCACCAGGGGAGGAATGGGGAGAGCATCAAGCACCAGGGGAGGAATGGGGAGAGCATCAGATAGGGGAGGTTCCAAGGTTCACTTTCCGACAGCCGCCTCGCTAATGGGGAGCATTGGAGGGGAGGCTTGGAGACAAGCATGGGAACTTTCAGTGAAGCACTGTTGTGTGTTTTCTTGGCATTTCTCCTCTCCCCCATATATCAGTCTCCCATCCTGCTCCCACCATTGCTCGCTTCCCCTTCAAAATCTCCACTTGCTCCCACCTTCCCCCCCTCCACCCCCTCCGCCCCACAGCACCCCGGACAGCCAGAAGCTGTCTGGCATTCTGCATGCTGACATCACCAAGCTCACAGCACTCACATTCCTGTCAGCCATAGAAGCTTTGTTTAGGCGAGCTGCAGTCTCGTAGAAATCTTTAGCAAGTGATAGACAGTAGTAAAAGTTTGGCCCTGTAAACAACCAAGAATCTGAAATCTGAACTCTTATTCCACTATAGGATTAAAACGCGAACATGTTTCGGTCGACTGGGACAGGCCCCAAGTCAAACCTTCATCAGCGCTAGCAGAATGTATGTAAGCAGGACTCACATGTATGTAAGCAGCACTCACATGTATGTAAGCAGCACTCACACGTATGTAAGCAGCACTCACATGTATGTAAGCAGCACTCACATGTATGTAAGCAGCACTCACACGTATGTAAGCAGCACTATGTAAGCAGCACTCACATGTATGTAAGCAGCACTCACATGTATGTAGCAGCACTATGTAAGCAGCACTCACATGTATGTAAGCAGCACTCACATGTATGTAAGCAGCACTCACATGTATGTAAGCAGCACTCACATGTATGTAAGCAGCACTCACATGTATGTAAGCAGCACTCACATGTATGTAAGCAGCACTCACATGTATGTAAGCAGCACTCACATGTATGTAAGCAGCACTCACATGTATGTAAGCAGCACTCACATGTATGTAAGCAGCACTCACACGTATGTAAGCAGCACTCACACGTATGTAAGCAGCACTCACATGTATGTAAGCAGCACTCACATGTATGTAAGCAGCACTCACATGTATGTAAGCAGCACTCACATGTATGTAAGTAGCACTCACATGTATGTAAGCAGCACTCACATGTATGTAAGCAGCACTCACACGTATGTAAGCAGCACTCACACGTATGTAAGCAGCACTCACACGTATGTAAACAGCACTCACATGTATGTAAGCAGCACTCACATGTATGTAAGCAGCACTCACATGTATGTAAGCAGCACTCACATGTATGTAAGTAGCACTCACATGTATGTAAGCAGCACTCACATGTATGTAAGCAGCACTATGTAAGCAGCACTCACATGTATGTAAGCAGCACTCACATGTATGTAAGCAGCACTCACACGTATGTAAGCAGCACTCACACGTATGTAAGCAGCACTCACACGTATGTAAGCAGCACTCACATGTATGTAAGCAGCACTCACATGTATGTAAGCAGCACTCACATGTATGTAAGTAGCACTCACATGTATGTAAGCAGCACTCACATGTATGTAAGCAGCACTCACATGTATGTAAGCAGCACTCACATGTATGTAAGCAGCACTATGTAAGTAGCACTATGTAAGCAGCACTCACATGTATGTAAGCAGCACTCACATGTATGTAAGCAGCACTCACATGTATGTAAGCAGCACTCACATGTATGTAAGCACAACTTCCACACACGCACTTGCATGCTCACTCGTATCTTCCGGTCTGTCCATGCACAGCTTTTCGTCACATTGACACCCTACTCTCATTCAGTTTTCTATCTCCCCCCCTCCCCTTTCCCCCTCCTCACACCCCCTTCCCCTCGTGTGTGCCACTGGCATGGTGCGGCAGCTCGCTCAAGTCGAACCTCTTCAAGGCACGCCTCGAGGAGTTTGGCAGGCCGATTCCCTCGCTGCCCAACGTCGCAGTGCTGTGAGTCGCCTCCTAATCCCGCTCTGCACCGCACTGCCTGCCTGCCTGCTCGCACTCTACTCGTCCCACCACCGCTTGCTGCTCGCCCCACACCACCACTTGTTTTGCCACCTTACCCCAACACCACATCTTGCCTTGCCAACTTACCCACTATCCGTGTCCTTTGGTTTCTATGGGTGTGCGGTCTCTGTGTGCATGTTTGTGTGTGTGTGTGTGTGTGTGTGCGTGTGAGTGTGGGTGTGTGTGTGTGTATGTGCATGCGTTTGTGGGTGCAGGTGCTTGTGTGTGCCATGTGTGTGCATGTATATGTGTCTGTGCATGTGTCTCCCACAGCCTGCTGGACTTCAACTGGTTCTTTGGCAGTCTGCCCCCTGCCATGATCGGCATGCCCAAGCTCACACGCCTGTCAGTCACTCTCTAAGCACCACCCACCAATTGCCCTGTGCTCCCTTGCTCCTTAGCAAATGTTTTCACCCAAACGGATCATTCAGCCATAACATCCCAACCCATGGAATGGCTCGGACTATCTGCACACCCACCCATCCTCCCTCCTCCAACCCTACTCCTCTCTCCTTTCCCATTCCCCCCCCTTAAACCCCCCTCTCGTCCTGCTCGTGCCAGCGGCCTGTCCTACAACTACCTGACGTACCGCGTGCCGCCGGTGTCAGCAGCACTCAAGGACATCGACGTGGGCTTTAACTTCCTCTCGGGCTCCTTCCCGGCCAACACCGCCACGTCGTGCGGCGCCAGCAACAACTGCTTCAAAGCGGTCACGGGATGCACCACCACGGGCACGGCGCAGTGCTCCACTGGGCGCAACTTCTGCGAGTCCACCACAGCGCAGGGCATGCTGTGCTACGGCCACGGCGTCTGCACCGTCGACGCCACCGCTCCCTTCAACGCTGGCACGCCCAACGCTGTCGGCGCCGCCACGCTGCCGCTGGCTTGCGTCAGTAAGTGCCGGGTGCTTAGGAGGAAAGGAGGGGGAAAGAGGGTGGAAGATGCTGCTGACGCTGGTGCACGCGGGCGGGTGCTGCTGCTATTTCCGACGCTGCCTTCCCTTGCAACTCACTCTCTCCTTCCGCTCCCCCTGCCCCGCCCTCCTGAACCTGTGTGCGTGTGTGTGCAGCCACCGTGTGTGGCTCTGCCTCGCCCGTCATGTGTCCTAGCGACTGGCGCTGTACTGGTCTGCAATGTGTCATGAACTCAGTCAACTGCTTCGGCTACCTCTGCGTCTAGGCATCATCCATCCTGCTCGCCTGCTGCAGGGCTGTCTGCCTTGCTCCAGGGCTGCTCGGTTTGCTGCAGTTCTGCTCGGTTTGCTGCAGTGCTGCTTGGTTTGCTGCAGTGCTGCTTGGTTTGCTGCAGTGCTGCTTGGTTTGCTGCAGTGCTGCTTGGTTTGCTGCAGTGCTGCTTGGTTTTCTGCAGTGCAAGTCACTGGCCTTCATTGATTAGTAGTTCAGTTTGCTATGATGCCATTCAGTTTGGCCTTAGATGCCTGGAATGCCATTTAGCTATGGAGAATGGGTGAACTTTATTCAAGACAACGATTTGGCCGAGGATTGCAGTAGTATGTGATCTCGGTTCACTGGAAATATATTTTTTGGTGCCAAAAAAAATATTTAAGTGAGTTAGTGCAGTGAAAATTTCTGGGCAAGTGCAATGCAAGTAGATAATCTAGAGTTCGTTACAGTTTTTAGTATAGAACGCAAATTCAGAAATACAGTTTAGATCGCGTTTTGAGGAGGCTGGGTCGCTAAAAGCGGTGAAAAACGGGAACCGCTCGCAAACGCGGTTGACCGTTTCAAACTGCGCCAAACGAGCCCTGAGTTAATTTTGCTGACCTACCTTTGTGCCACATACACCACACGGGCCTCCATCTAGGAACAGAGCATGCGCTTTCCAGTATAACGTGCTTCATTCCCCTGCGCCACCGCGCTGCCATCGTGCTCTCATGTCCGCGGCAACGCCTTTCCCGCCCGCGCTGCCGTGGCACTCGCAGCGCCTCACTCACCTGCTCCGTCGCGCGCCATTACCATCTCCTCACCACCGCTTCCCCACGCCACCCCGCCGGCCCGTCGTCGTTGCCAGGGCCCTCGAAACCTCCGCCGCTGCTGCAGTTGCACCTGCTGCTGCTACGCGCAGCGCATGCAGCGTGGACCCACCGGTACGACAGCCCCTCGCCGCCGCGAATGACGCAACCCTAAGCCTCCGCGCGCTGCTCGCCGGCCCCGCGTCCGCCGCCCTCCTGCTCCTCCTCGTCGCGCACGGCGTCACGCTGCCGCCCGTTGCCGCCGTTGCCTCCGCAGGAATGCCCGCGGGCGTGGCGGAACCCGCGGCGGTGGAGGAGGTGAGGGGAGCGCGCACGTGCTCCGCGGGTGATGGGGAGGGACAGGCGCAGGGATGGTGCGCGCCAACGATAGCGGAAGACGCGAATGGCGCAGCGAGCGCGGGATTGACGAGCGGAGAGCGGTTTGGGTTGCCGGAGGAGTTGAGAAACAGATAAGTGCTGCTGCGGCACGGGCGGAGCCTGGCCAATGAGAGAGGACTGATCGTCAGCAGCCTGGTGAGGCGCGCGCACGCTGCCCTCCTTCCCTCGGCTGTGCCCGCGTGTGCCTCCTATCCACCTGCCGCCTTCTCAAGCGCTGCCTGGCCAGCCGTCTGGCCCGCCCTTCCATCCTCTCTCCACTCTCCGCGCCTCAACACTCTCCCTCCTCTTCGTCTGCACCCGTGCCTTCTTTCCGCTCGTCTCGCCTCCCCTGCCCTCCCCCACCTCCCCCCTCTCCACGGTTGCGTGGCAGGTGAACGGGGTGGCGGCGGAGTATGGGCTGGCGGCGGAGGGCAGGCAGCAGGCGCAGCGAGCGGGGCGCCAGCTGAAGGAGGTGAGTGAGGGAGGCTGGCGGGCAGGTGAGGGGGGAGGCTGGGTGGCAGGTGGGGGAGTGCGTGGTGACATGGCACATGTCCCCCCAGGACAGGAAGCGCGCACGTGAATGCAGTGGTGCGCAGCTGATGCACACAGCGCGCTGGACGCGTTCATCCCGCGCGTCCCCGTGCTGTGTGTCCCCACCCCACCCGCCTGTGCTAAGTTTGTGCCTCCACCTCCCCGTTCTGGGTGTCCGCACCCCCCCCCCCCCCCCCCCCCCCCCCCTGCTCTGTGTCCCCACCCCCCCGTGCTGTGCTGTGTGTGCTGCAGCTGTTGGAGCAGCGGGGAGTGGCGGGGAGGGACGTGGTGGTGTTCGCGTCGCCCTTCAGCCGCACGCAGCAGACGGCCGCCCTCGCAGCGGCAGAGCTGGGCATCGACGTCCTCGGCACGCGCTTTCAGGTGGGGCGGGGTGGGGTGGGGTCGGGTGGGGTGGGGTCGGGTGGGGTGGGGTCCCCATGCCTCCATGCCTCCATGCCCTCTTTCCCCTCTGCTTCTCCGAGCCAGCCCTCTCTTCTCCCCATCCGAGCCAACCCCACCCACTCTTCCCCCCCCATCCCTCTCCCGCTCCCCCCCTCCTGTCCCCTTTCTTCGTTTTCCCTGTTCTAAGTTTCCCCTGCCATGCTACCTTCGTTCCATTGCCCTTTTCCCGGTCACCCCTGATCGTTGCTTACTTGCTCGTCATCTTATTCCTTCCACGATGAGTCGTGCCCTCCCGTGTTCTTACTCCCCTGCCACAACCTGTCGCGTTCACCCAGCCCTTGCAGTGGCACCCACTCCATCTCATTCCTGCCGACCTCATGCGCCTATGGCATGATGACTACTTGACCTAAGTGTGCCCGTGGCGTGCAGACAGCGGAGGAGCTGAGGGAGCGCTACTTCGGGCACCACCTGGAGCTCAACTCGCATGACCTCGTGCGTGCCCTGCTGCCACCCCCTCCCCTCTCCCTCCTTCTCTCCTACTCTCCCTTGCTCTTGGACACACACCCACACTCGCGCGCTCACCAGCATCCTGATGTCTCTCCATTCTAGTGCCGTATTATCTCTAACGCACCTACATTTCTCCTCTCATGCATTTTCCAGCTCTGTCCTCCGCGTCCCCCTCTCCACCCCTGCTCCCCACCGTGCTGTGCGGCAGTACCCAGCAGTGTGGGTGGACGACAGGAAGGACGCCACATTCCGCCCGGGTGGCGACGGGGAGAGTGTGCTAGCCGTGGCGCAGAGAACGGCACGCCTCATTCAACACATTGAAGAGGCTGTGGACGGGTGAGTGGACCTGCATGCGCAGGGAACATTAATTGGCAGATAGCATTCTTTTAATGAAGATGGTTTGTTTGAACTTCTATGCCCAAAAGGGTATTGGATGGTTTTGTTGGTCCACTCACTAGCTGATGAGGGGTTTCTCGTTGTGCAGGAAAGTGGTGGTGCTGGTGAGTCACGGAGACACTCTACAGATCATCAACTCGCTTCTCTACTCCTGCGATCTACTGCCGTCATCATTCGTTCTACCCAAAGGCATTGTGGAATCCGCACCAACTCCAGATCCCACCATCCACTTGCCCTTACATAGGTTGTTTGCCTTTCAAACAGGGGAATTGAGAACCCTCAACTTCTAGAGCTACTCTTCACGTCATGGGGAGACATGTGTCAGAATACTAAACGAGAATGAATGCATTGAACAGAAAGTTGGTACAAGTATTAACCCTAATTGGGTTGTACCCCTTATGGGCTACCCCACTATAGCCTACATAATGTAAGCATTATAACATTTTGACACACCCCTATAGGCAAAGTGGGGGAGAACAAGTGGTCACAAGACCAGTTAAGAAAAACAAAGCAAGCTCAAGATGGATCACGAAGTCACCACACATTCTGAGCACAAGCAAATGGCCACAAGGCCAGTTCACATGCATAGTTATATAAAAGAGAACAAACAGTACAGTGATCATACCCTAGCAAGTGTAAGCATGCAAGTATATATATACATCACAGTACAAGCAAAGTCACGTAGTGAGCAAGTGAGACTAAGTACGGTAGGCACAAGGCCTAAAACAGTACAGAATCGCTGCTGATCACCAGACTGAAGTGCCTTGGTGAATAAATCAGCAGTGTTGGCCCGAGTGGCCACGTAAGCAAGACGAAACTGACCACGCTGCTGCAACTCTCGAGCAAGGAAGTAACGCAGAGCGATGTGCAACAGAGGAAGGACGAAGTGCCATAATGTGAGTTCCGGGGACAGAAGGAGGACGCGGACGAGGAACACGACGACCAATGTGAACAGCGCGAACACGCGAGGCAGGACGAGACTCAGGCTCACGATGCTCCTTAAGAGAGTCTGTCTGCTCAGCGTAAGGAGAAGGAGCAGGCAATGTGGAGTCTGGCTGTAACGATGGCTGCGACTGGTCAGGTGGTGGACACAGCAAGCTAGGAGTAAGGCCAGTAGAAGACGGGAGACTAAGAACCTGGCTAAGGACCGAGTCAAGTGGCGGCAGAGACGACGGCGGCGGCGGAACGAAAAACGGGCGCCGCTGCACAGTGCCTCCAGCACCAGGACCGCCAGCTCCAGCACCCCCAGCGCCAGCACCTCCAGCTCCAGGGTCTCCAGCTCCAGTGCCTCCAACGCCAGGGCCTCCAGCTCCAGCTCCTCCAGCTCCAGTGCCTCCAACTCCAGTGCCTCCAGCTCCAGCGCCTCCAGCGCCAGTGCCTCCAGCTCCAGGGTCTCCAGCTCCAGCACCTCTAGCTCTAGCTCCTCCAGCTCTAGCGCCTCCAGCGCTAGTGCCTCCAGCTCCAGGGTCTCGAGCTCTAGCGCCTCCAACACCACGTGCTCCGGCAGCTCCAGTACCTCTAGTACGAGCACCTCCAGGACCGGCAGCTCCAGTACCTCCGGTACCTCCAACTCCAGCAGTAACTCCAGCACCTCCAGGACTAGAAGCTCCAGCACCTCCAGCTCCAGTGCCTCCACCTCCAGCGCCTCCACTGTTAGGGTCTCCAGCTCCAGCGCCTCCAACACCACCAGCTCCAGCAGCTCCAGTACCACTGGTAGGAGCACCTCCAGGACTAGCAGCTCCAGCACCTCCGGTACCTCCAACTCCAGCAGTAACTCCAGCACCTCTAGGACTAGTAGCTCCAGTGCCTTCAGCGGCAGAGCCTCCAGCTTCTGCAGCGCCACTCCTAACGCATGTGCGCTGAGCAAAACACTCGCGCAGATGCTGCGGTGAGAGAGGCTCCCGCCGGTCAGACACTCGTGGCGAGGCACCTGTAGGACCTCCGGCAAACGCAGTACCCCTAGGCTTAGCACCCCCATACTCCGCACCCCCAGGCTCCGCACCGACAGGCTTAGTACACAGAGGCTCCTCACCCGCAGGCTCAGCACCCCCAGACTCCGCACCCTTGGACTCAGCAACCCCAGGCTCCACACCTTCAGGCTCAACACCCCCAGGCTCCGCACTCGCAAGCTCAGCACCCCCAGACGCAGCACCCCAAGACGCAACACCCCCAGACGCAGCACCTCTAGCAGCACCTGAGTCTACAGCGACCTCGACAGGCACAGTAAGGGGGAGTGGGTCTACCTGAGACCCCACCTGAGGGAGCAGGACCCTGAGGGGGGAGGGGGTCTACTGAAGGGGGGCCTGGAGCGAGGAAGAGCGGCGGGGGGGGGGGGGGAGAGGGGCTGGGAAGAGATAGAAAAACGGAACCGACTCGTCAAACGTGACGTCCTGAGAGGGGAGGACACGGCGCGAGGTGGGGTGGTAAAACTGCCAGCCATCCGTGTTAGGGGGAAAGCCAAGGAAGACGCAGGGAATAGCGCAGGAGGAGAGCTTGTCCGCGGAAGGATCGCGGGCAAAGGCACAAGAGCCCCAGACCCGGAACACCGACGCATCGCCAACCTTCCCCGTCCAACGTAGTGTAGGCGAGGTCTCCGGCAAGGAGACACGGGGCTAGAGGTTTAGCTGATGCGCAGCGTACCGGACTGCAAACGGCCACAGAAAATGGGGAGCAGCCGCATGGATCATGGAGGTACAAGCGACCTCCATAACTAAGCCAATGCGGCACTCAGCAATCCCATTTTACTGCGGGGAGGCCGGAAGTGTGAACGACTGGAGAATGCCCTCCCCACGACAAAAGTCCCGCAAGAGGTCGGAGGAGAACTCACCACCTCTGTCAGAGTGCAGACGCAGGACAGGAAGGTCCTCGCCGAACCGCTCGCGGAGCTGGAGACGAATTGCGGGGATCCAAGGGACCAAGACATCAGGGACCTCACCCTTGCTGCGCAAGGGGAATACCGTGGTGTAACGCGTGTAGTCGTCAACAACCAGCAGGAAGTAGCGCTCTTGGTCCTGTCCACTGACGCGGGCTGAGCCCCACACGTCCATGTGGAGAGTCTACAGGGGAGCAGTCGTCAGGGGAAACGAGGAGGAGTGAGGAGCAGCGCGCTGTCGCCCCTCGACGCAAGGAAGGCAGGGCGGGGCAGGTGAGGTCGGGAAAGGAGGCAGAGACCTGGGAAGACCAGAAACAAGGAGGCGGGAGTGCATGCCACAAAGGCGTGGCAGGGAGGGGTGACCAAGGCGGTGGTGCCACATGAGAGTCTGGTGCGACAGGAGGCGACACGAGCAGGGGGCTGCTACCGGACCTGACGCGGACACCTGAGCAGACGCAGCTACCTGAGGAGGCTCAATAGTCAGTGTGTACAGACTCGACCCAGGCCGATGGGCGAACGTGGCCAGGTGACGGCCCGTCCGTGTACACGTGCAGATCAATACACGCTGACCCCCAAGAGTAGTGGTAGTGACCATCACATCCGGGAGGGCAGCAGTACTCACCAAGTTCGTAGAGAACGAGGGGAGGTGAATACCCGAGAGTGAGCGGACGGAACCGCCGGACACGGGAGAACAGTGGAGGAATGGGCAAGGACTGGGCCCCCTGAGGGGTCAGCCAATCTGACTGGAACAGGTGCAGGGAGTGGAGTGAGGGTGGTGCTGTCGCAAAAGAAACAGCGGGAAGCACCTGAGTCAAGTGTGAAGGTGTGCAAGGCCTCAGCAGGTGCAGTGCCAGGGAGAGTAGACTCACTAGCACCTATAGCAGCAGCCTCTATACCTGGGTCGAGCGGCACACTCAGGTGACAATCACCCTCAGCACTAACAGACAAGGCATACATGGCAGCAAGGATAGCATCATAGTCAAGCGCAATGATATCAACACCAGACCTAAGCAGCTCTAGCCAGCGGGGGCGCTCAGCCTCGTCGCCAAACTATGTGCGCCAAGCATCGTAAAGGCAGGAGAAGCAGCGGTGTTGTGTGCGAAACTTCCCGCATCTCTGACCATCGCGGTCACCTGTGCGAATGACATACGGGCAGCGAACACTACTCCCAGACGCCCCACGCTGAGCAAACCACTCACGAAGCTGCTGGGGTGTAGGGGTCTCGCTTCGACGCTGCTGCTGCTGCCTCTGGCCACCGCCAAAACCTCCCCTCTGAGCAGCTCAACTCCGACCGCCACCAATGCCGCCTCCACCACTCCCACTGCCACCACCACCGCCACCCCCACCCCCACCGCTGCCACCACCGCCACCACCGAAGCCCCCACTCCCGCCACCACCTCCGCCACCTCCACCGCCTCCACTGCCTCCACCACCACCACCCCTGCTGCCACGCCACCACTCTTGCCACCCTTGCCCTTGCTGCTGTGGCGCTTCCCACTAAGAGCATAAGCAGTCCCGACATCCTCAGTACCAAGGATGTCAACAGCAGCAGCAGAAGCGTAGGAGGGGGCATGGGGGGAGGGGGAACGCCCCTCAAAGAAGGGTGTGCGAGGAGTGCCACGAGCAGCACATACAGCGACTACGCTAGTCTCAGCTGCAAGGAGGTGCTTCTCGAGCAGGTCGACAGTGAGGTCAGTGGGGCCAAGTGCGAGAAAGTGGTCCCTAACTGCGCGAAGAGAGTCAGGGAGGCAGGTGACTATGAAGTAGAGAGTGATGTATATCGGGGGGGGGGGGTTCCTGTCTAGGAACTCGGCTGGGAGGGCAACGCGGTAGCGAGTGTCACTAGTGCGAAGGTGGGTAACGAGGTACTCGACTGTGGCAAAGGCTGACAGCTCGGGAAACAGGTAGGGCGTTATAAGGCGACCGAGAGCAGCAGTGGCAGGGGAAGAGTAACGAGCGACTACAGCGTCGTATAGGGCCTTAGCAGTCTTGTGCTGGCCAAAGTGAGCGCGTTCGGCTAACGGGAGGTGGTTGCGAACGGCTAAGCAAGCAGCAGCGTCACGGGTAAGCCATTGTGAGCGAGTCGCACTGTCAGCTGTGGCGGGAGGGGCGAGAGAGGCTCTAGATGTGTGGTCAAACAACGAAACGCTGTCTCTAGAATCGCTCAGTAGGTACAGCTGTAAGTCGTCGAGCCACGTATCGAACTGGATCGGACGGCCCTCATGATCGAAGGTGAGAACACTGAGAGAAGCCATAGCGGACAGAGCAGGGTGGCGCGCGACCAGCAGGGCAGCACGCAGGCAGGGCGGCGCGCGAGCACTAGGGAAGCGCGCAGGGCAGGGAGAGGCGGCGCACGGCTAGGGAATAGTGGCGCGCGGCCAGGGCAGGGCAGGGCGGCACGTAGGCAGGGCAGGGTGT